TTGTGTTACGGCGAGACTCGTGTTACTGGCTCCGTCGATGACGCATGATGACCCAGCATACAGCGATGCTACAACTCGCGCGTTTAGCGCCGAGGGTTTGCACTTTAGTGCTTTTATTTTGAAAAGTAATGCACCCCTTTGGATGTGACCTCAGCGGATATCGAGGTTTAGTCACACTACCATCAGGCATGATTATACTACAAAATAGCTAATGCCTGTTCATTGACTGTGAACCCTGGGATGGAATGGAAGAATTCTAGTGGACAGTCTGAACCACACAACAAACCTACCAACTGGGCACACACCATGCTTCTCGAGTTCAACCAGGAGAGACGCCATAACTTGGCAACCTGGTGAGGTTTTTCTGGTTTAACATCCCCTACTGCAAGAATTGCAGCGTAAACGTTCTGCACTAAGAAATCCACAACACCTGCACATGTGAAAGTGTCGGGACACAATAGATCATGGGTACAGGATAAGGTGTACCTCCAGTGTTACCACCAGTCACCCGACACCAGTCAGTTGTGTTAGGTGTTGTGGATAATTTGAGTCCCTAACACTGACCAATATCAATATTATGGTGGTGGATATCGAGTAGATACGTTAGCCACATCTTGCCAGCCCCATTATGGAACAGGGCGGGGATCTGTTCCGACAGAATGTCATGTGGCAGAGCAAGGGGCACAGAAGTTCAGGCACATTGTCTGGCAACGGTATTTTTTCTAGGCCACCACCGTGGACGAACGAGGTGTGGACTCCCTTGGGACTCTCCATGAGGTCCGCTGGGTTCATGGACGTCGAGGCGTGTGCTGAGCTTCGTTGACTTCAGTTTGGAAGTTTCAACTCCCCGAACCCCTTACTCTCACAACTTTCCCAAGACATCCAGTAGGCCTCCCAGCGTTGTAATTATTCTCAGACGAATCTGGCGACAGCGACAGCGCCACGCGGAGGACAGACCGGATAGGAAGTTGTTCGGCCATGCCGATATTGGCTTTAGACACACTCGCCTTGCCTTCCTCACGCTTCGAAATCATGCGCACGTATGGCAAGCCAAACGTACCAACATATAGAGCGTTCTAGAGAGTTTCCAGGACATTCTATGTGTTAGATGTTAGACCGTCCTGAGTATATAGGACGTCCTATACGTTTCTAGGACGTCTGATGCGAATAGACCGTCCTACACGTTTGACTCATGCGCGTAAATCACAGCCACGTGGTGCGATGGAGGTCGTTCTCGTTTGTTTCCGAGAACATAAACGCGAAGTGAAATTTTGTGTTGCTGCAGACGAAAAAAACAATTGGAGGAAGCTGTATTCAACGTGTTCGATGATGTGATAGACTGTGGTGAAACTTCGTTGCTGCTTCAAGCGAAGGGTGGGCTGGAGAGTACGTTGACCTGGGCGAAGGGGATTCAATTCCTAATGGTGCTATTATCAAGGCAGTTGTCATTGAGCAGGTAAAAATATATGTATATCTGCGTGTTCGGAGATCCTTTTTTAATGAACCGGTGTCACATTTCATGCAAGAGCTATAGGCCTTATCCTTTTTTCGTGGAGTTCCCTACACACGATTTTTCGCGCCATGTACTATATACATACTTTATAATGCCGTGCAAATGGGTTCCGAGGCAATGACACATAGCTGCATACAAATATTAGAGGGTGACACATGTATGATTTAGTGACAATCCCGCCTACTCTCAACGTCGTTGGTGGATCCACTACTCGCAAAATTGCCAGAATGATCACTGTGGTCTTGCAATAGCTTTGGCAGCAGTCATTCACAATATTCAGTGTCAGGGGATTGTATATATTAATGGTATGGGGAGTGTTGTCTGGTCTGCTACTAAAGGGTTTACCTTTTCCTACAGGGAAAGTCTCTTGCAGCAACTGGAGCTACTCTCAGTAAAAGGCTTACAACACCGGCCAATGCTGAACGTTTACAATTGTCGCGCCGAGGGTTATTGTCGGGCACGTATCTGCGTACCGCGGAGCCATTTTATCTACGGTAGAAAATTCACACTTTTCTCCTTATTGTTATAGCTGTACATCAATTTTCCAGACTATGTGCCGAAAACGAAACGGGTGTGAGGGAAAGCTGGTTGCACAGTCAATAAAATGCAGCTTTTCATAGTGTGTAAAAAGCGAGCTGCTCCCCTAGTCGAAGAGAAAGGCAGAGTAGGTCGTGTCTTTGAGAGTCCTGAGCAGAAAAGGGGTCGTCCGTATAAACGTCGATTGCGCGATAGGCCTCGCTACAAAAACAGCGGAGGAAAGGGAAGCGCGACAGAGTCGTGTACATTCTGCGGAATCAGGGGGAAAGGAACAGGGCAGGGTTTAATTAATTAACAGCTCCGAAGCTGTCAGTCAAGGGGAATTGCTGCCGAGTCCAGCGAGGAGGGAGGCTATGCATCAGACTTGGTAGTTGCAAAGGTGCTTCTGGCCGCTCTTCTAACTAACTCTTAGACTTTGTCAACCTAGCTACCACTTTCCGCTGTTTTACGTAAAGAGGACGACACCCTTGCCTTTATTCTTCGCTTTTTGCGCTTTCAATCTTTTGCGCGCACACCACCATTGCCCTGTACGTACGTATGTGAACCAAGCCAATTCATGCGGCGTTGCTAAGGTACATCTAGCAACTCGGCCACCCTGCACTCAACAAGAAATGGCGGAAAGGTTTCTTCACGATTACCCTGAACTGAAACCATTCGTGCTGTCTGATGTACGTTTGACTGGCGTCACAATCGGCTTTGGGGCTCACGGGAGTGTGGAAGAAGTGGCTATTCCTGGAGCTATCTGCGCGGCTAAACGAGTCCATGATATTTTCGTTAAAGGAGCAAAGAACCAAGACGCTGCTATGCGCAAGGCCTCTAACCAGTTCAAGAGGGAATGCCAGCTTATGAGCACTCTACGTCACCCGAACATCGTCCAGTTTCTCGGCGTCGTTTTCTTTCCCTTTCCTGATTCGCGTCTACCTGCTCTTGTCATGGAGCGGTTGCTGACCAACCTCCACGACTTACTAGTCCCAGAAACAGATGCGTCAGTTCCATCCGACGTGTCGAAGCCGTTCATTCCCCTGGATCTAAAGTGCTCTATTCTGCACAACGTTGCGTGCGGGCTAGCCTATCTTCACGGACGGTCGGAGCCTATAATTCACCGCAATTTGTCGGCCAGAAAAGTCCTTCTAAATTCGGGGATGGTTGCCAAAATTGCTGACTTGGGTGGGGCTCGTACTATAACCGGCATGAGGGAAGCAGCAGCAATGACCAAGGGCCCCGGTGATTCACTGTATATGCCACCTGAAGCCAATGCCCCTTCCAGCTCTAATGCTGAGATGTCGAAATATGATGCCAGCATCGACATATTTTCCCTAGGCATTCTCTCTATTTTCACCATTGGTGGAAACTTACCGTGCGATCTTCTTCCGCCCAACTATCCCGATGAAAACAGTGGGTTGCTGGTTGCTCGCTCTGAATTAGAGAGACGCAGCAAGTATCTTCCGGATGTCAAAAGTGAAATACATGCCTCTGGCCAACTTTGTGCAGACCATTCCCTCATGCGGCTGATCCAGCAATGCCTGCACAATATCCCTCATAAACGTCCAACTATTCACGAAGCACTAGGCTTACTGGAAGAGGCAAGAGCTGGTGTTGGAGATGAAGGGAGCAAGAGAAACAAACTTGAACTACTGCAAGCAGTTCACATTGAGTCCAAGCACCAGGTAAGGGAATGGGTACATATAAATTATGTGATTTATCCAATACATTAAAGGAATTTCAACATGTAATGGCAGAGAATGCTGATCTCCAGTGTAGCATACAAATGAAGGAAACAGAGCTCAGCAAGGTTCAGGAGCAATTAAGAGATAAGGTAGCTATTCATAAGGAAGATAGGATATTCACATTTATAGCCAGATGCTATTTTTGGGCATTTCTGCAGGAGGAAAAGCTGACCACCGTGTTAGGAGCATTGACAAGAGCAGCAACAACAATCAGGAGAGGGCAGGAGCAGATACAGGACATGATGCAGCACGTTAGTTGTGTGTACATGTGCATTGTGTCATAGTAACTCAGTGGTAGAGCACTCGTCTAGTGTAGAGTACGTTCAAGTCCTATATAGGGTAGCTCTCTTTTAAAGTGTTGTCCTTGGTGTAGTTATACACTTTTCTGTGTTTACACGCCGTGATTCTCTTGTTTACAGGAGACTGAGGTTGTTCAGGCTAAGGACAGAGAACTAGCGCAAACTCAGCGGCAGTTAAGACAAAAGGTGAACTTCATCACGATGAATTCATTGCACAGACAATATTAATCACTGCAGGAGGAAGAGCTCCTAAGAAAAGCAGAAGAGCTACAAAGAGCAGAGGAGGGTATTAAGAAAGAGCAGCACCAGATGCATGAGATGAGACAGCGAGTATGTATTGGCCACGTTGCAACTTATTATTAATTTTTGTGACTGCAGGAGTTTGAGTTGGTACAATCCTGGGATAGGGCTCAACAGCAAATGACACAAATGGTAGCTAAGCCACACTGTGCTGTCACAAGTGGTTTATTATGTCGTTTTATCTAAACAGACAGCAGTGGAAGAGAGGATGAAGGTGGAGTTGCAGCAAGCTCATGCACAAGTCAATGAGCTGCAGCAGAGGGTGGATGAGATTGAGAAAACGAAATATGATAAACGCTTGGTTCAGGAACAAGCCACTGCAGCCGAACGGCGAGGTCCTTCGTGGGAAGTTAAAGAAGATGAGCTGGAAGTCACAGATGAGACACTGGGGTGTGGAGGGTGGGCTTTAGTGAAAGTAGCAAAACTTAAAGTTGCTGCAAAGTGTCTCCACAACCAGCTGATCTATGACTACCATCGAGATTCGTTTAGACGTGAAATGGACATGGCAGCCCGACTCTGTCACCCCAACCTGTTGCGCTTTCTTGGAGCGAAACTAGAAGGAGACATGACCATTCTTACAGAGTTCATGCCAATTAGCCTGAGAGCTCTAATTAATGGGGATCCACAGCAACCTCTTTCACTGCAACACATCCTCTCAATTACACTTGACGTAGCTCGTGCTCTTAACTACCTCCACAGCATGACGCCTGATCCCATTATCCACAGGGACCTCAGCAGCGCCAATGTTCTTCTCCAGCCCTCTTCTAATGGAGGATGGCTTGCCAAGGTGGCAGACTACGGAACTGCCAATTTTCAGAGCCTTCTAAAGACTCAGAATCCCGGTTCCCCAGTTTACAATGCCCCTGAGTCCCATGACCCTGCAGCTCAGACACCCAAGATGGACATCTACAGCTTCGGAGTCCTACTAGTGGAGATGTACACAGGACACCTCCCGACTGTCGAATGCCGTGCCGAGCTGATGAAGTCCATGTATCATCCCGGACTGATGAACCTCGCCAGGCAATGTTTGAACGAAGACAAAGATCGACGTCCAACAGCTGCTCAAGTGCTGGAACTTCTACAAGATATGCACTGAAGACAAGACATGACTAGTTTTCTGCACCTTAGTTTTAACCCATCTCAGCACCTTAGCCTCTAACTGCTATATAGCCTTATCATAAGTTAGTCGAAGTGTATGTTCAACCTGTCCAATTGCCTAACTGGCCCCCGTTTGCCCACCGGGCATCCGGTTATGCACTGGCCGTCCAGATATTTTTTTGCGCTCTCCCGCCGCAGCTACACAGAGACGTCATGCTGGAGTGCTAATGCGCGCGCAGTACTACAGTCGGTGCTTGGTCGGTCGGTGGGGTTGAGCTGAATGAGGCCGCGGTCTACAAGCGCGCACTGTAACAACCAGAAAAGGAGAGGCCCGTGCCATCGGCCTTCGCAATTGATTCACCTATCACGTTCACAGCTCACAATGACTTTGCAGAAATAGGTACATGTTTATTAGCCAAAGTCCCCATGGAAACATGCCGTGAATATCTTAGGGCGTTTCGGGCATGATAAACGGTGAGGGAAACATCTACGATAGCTATCTACTATAATAGCTAGTTCCAATGGCAGAGACACTTCTATATGATAATCCTGAACTGCATAAATTTGTCATACCCAACATCCGCTCTACTGGCACTACCATCGGCTACGGATCCCACGGAAGTGTGGAAGAGGTGGCCATACCGGGAGCAATCTGCGCTGCCAAAACCGTCCTGCATTTCCTGCAGGACAAGGCTAGAGCCCCTGCTGCCGTTACTCGAGACGCTACAAACAAGTTCGTACGGGAATGCCAGCTTATGAGCACCCTCCGCCACCCAAACATCGTCCAGTTTCTGGGAGTCGCCTTCCTACCCGTTTCTCAACTTCCCGCCCTCGTTATGGAGCGAATGTTGACGAGCCTTCACGACCTGCTAGACCCAGAAACGGATACCCCGCCCCAACAAGGCGCGTCTAAACTATTTTTGCCACTGACCCTCAAATGTTCCATACTGCACAATGTGGCCAGTGGCCTAGCTCACCTCCATCAGCGACTACCGCCAGTTATCCACCGTGACTTATCAGCCAAAAACATTCTACTCAACTCGGAGATGGTTGCAAAGATAACAGACTTCGGCATGGCTTGCACAGTAAAAAGCATTAGAGCAGCTCTCACTATGAGTGGTTTCCCTGGGACCCAGGTCTACATGCCTCCAGAAGTGATGGTACCCAGTAAATGTGTGTATGATGGCTCCATTGACATATTCTCATTTGGAATCGTTGCTATTTTCACCATCAGTGAAATGTTTCCCTGTGAACTTCTTCCTCCCAATTTTGCTGATCCAACAAGTGGCTTACTGGTAGCTCGCACCGAATTTGAACGGCGTAGAGAGTACATTCAGCATGCTAACGATCAACTCCGCCTCTATGGCCAGTACCACGAGGAGCACCCTCTCATTAGGCTAATTCAAAAATGTCTGCACAACATCCCAGCAAGAAGGCCAGATGTTCATGAGACGCTACACATGTTGGAAGAAGCCAGATCTGCTGTTGGAGATGATAAGAGTTACTTAGGACAAGCTTCGCTCAGTGAGGACAGAAATAAGGTAAGACACTTATGATTGTAAGGCAGAATGAGTGGACTTTGCTTCAACAGAGTTTGGAGTGTGTTGTTCGAGACCTGGTGACAGAGAACGCATGTCTCCAGTCCCGTGTGCAGGAGTTGCACTGTAGTAATCTTGCCAAGGACCACGAGCTAGCAGAGACTCAAAATAAGCTAAACCAAAAGGTGAAAAAAAACATCCGTTTACCATGTTTCACCGTGCATACCTTCTTGTGGTAAAATAAGGCCCATCTCTCTCCGGTTAACGTACACATTCCTACCTTCATAGCAATTATTGTTTCACTAGCATTTTTTAGATGTAACGAGAAGAGAATTAAATTATCCTTCCCAAACAGGAAGAACAGCTGAAATCAAGTGAGAGTGAAAACGAGAAACTAAAAGATCTGTTTAGAAAGAAAGAGGAAAGTATGAAGCTGTTGGTTCAGGAGATGAAGCAGCAAGTTTGTACTTCAGTTTGAGGATTGTATGTGGCTTGATTAGCACTTTTCTCTACTGCAGGATGCCGAAATTGCGCAATCCCAGGAGGAAGAGGAGAAACCAAGCAGAAATGTATGTTGTGTGATAATTACTGTCTTATGCATTTTTATCTGCAGTCCAGTCAGTTAACACTAGCATAATGATGCTTCAGTCCAGAAGGCCAGCATAACTTACCTAAAAACATGTAATGTGTTTCAGACTAATTACTTCTCCCTATGCCTTTATAACATTAAAAGCCACTTTCCTCCACTGACTGCCCAAGTTTAGGCCAAGCATAAGATGGCCTGGTGTAGCTAGCTACCACAACCCTGAAAAGGATGCTTTAAGCCAACACCTTAGGCCTTACTACTAATCAGCTTGATCCGGCCAAATTGTTCTTCATCGTAATTAAGTGGTGAGTTGAAGGGGGAAAGAAGAAAACAATTCTGCTCGTGCATCATTACTCAATCCACAGCCTTAGACAGTCTTGACTATGCACTCCCACTATTGAACCTAATATGATCTCAATAAATAAAACTACATGTGTGCCAATACTGCATGATGCCATCCACAGTATAAGCTCTTTCAAAAAGCAATCAGTAATGCTCATTCTTTTGCACATTATTGTGTCAGTTTTGCAGTTTTTATTGCCCATATAGTTATAGGTTGTGACTGACACTGCTGCACTGCACTTACCATAATCTTGTGATTGCGCTAGTACTATAATAATATACCTGGTACTGCTTGTTTCATTGGGTGGGTTATAGGGGAATTTAAGTACACTCCATTGTCATTGTTTAAGTCTTCTCTGCACTTTATTATGCACCAGGGTAAGGTAATTTGATCACCACTGTAAATATATTTGATAACTCTCTCGTATGCATCAAACAGACTAACTTGGCATTCTCTCACTGTGCCAATTTACCTTTGACAAAGACAGCTATACTCCCTTTAAAACTGTATGAAAATTATCTTGCTCTCTCTTTCTCCTTTCTCAGCTATCTTCTTCCTATCCATGCCACATCAGTGGACCTGGTCTAACGTCAGCCACAGTCGGTCAACAAACACACATCCTACTTAAGCTAATAAACGTTGATGATAATACTAAAAAAGTGACAGTTACGGCCAAACTTGAAAACACTACAACCAGCAATCTGCCTGTGCCCCCACCCATAAACAGTACATGGCAATTATCTGGGGAAGCTGATGCATCAGTAGTCAGATCTCTAACTCTCAGTACAACGTGTCATACACAGTACTAACTCGAGGGCAATACAAGCTCCATGTTCACATTAATGAGAGAGAAATAAATGATAGCCCCTTCATGGTGACAGCATTTCCTGATCCTACGTTACTTTCTCATCCAGTCAGGATTTTGACCGGCCTAGAAAAGCCTTATGGCATTGCCTACAGGAGTGATAAGAATGTGATCATCAGTGAATGTGCAGGTCACAGATTGTCTGTTTTCGACGTCAGAGGGCACAAGATCTTAACATTTGGTTCAGACGGTGAACAAGAGCAGATGAGAGCTCCTGCAGGAATAACAATTGATGTCATGGACAATGTATATGTCACTGGCTGTCATAGACTGCAGAAGTTCTCCAGCAGTGGTAAACTCATCAAATGCGTTGGTCGAAAAGGAAAAGAAGAGGGAGAATTTAACGATCCAAGTGGAATAACATTGTACGCTGACAAAATATTTGTTTGCGATCGAAATAACCATCGAATTCAGGTATTCGACTGTGACTTGAGCTTTTTTCAATCTTTCGGTTCATTTGGCAGTGGAGGGGGCGAATTTGATTCACCACTTGATGTTACGTTTGACACCCTGGAAAACATGTACGTGGCAGACTGCGGTAATTCCAGAGTACAAATACTGGATGCCAGTGGTCGTTTCATCCAAGTTTTGGGTGAGCAAAATCTGACTCGCCCATCAAGCCTTCACCTGTGTGACAACTACGTTTATGTTTCTGATTGGGGAGGCAATCGTATCGTAGTGTATAAGACATCGGGTCAGTTTGTGACCTCATTTGGAAGTGCTGGTCAGCAAGAGGGAGAGTTTTATTCCCCGTACTCTATTACCTCTGACCTTGATGGTTTTATATATGTATGTGATTGTTGGAATAACAGGGTTCAGATATTCTAAAACAATTTGTTTTAAAAATCTCTTCAGTCGATCGATGATGTGAAGAGAGTGGATACATGGTGGGCCTCACCCACAAACACTACTTGGCGGTTATCTAGGGAAGACTGATGCATATAATATATTCAGTAGTCAGGATCCCTAACTCGCAGTACAACGTGTCATACACAGTACTAACTCGAGGGCAATACAAGCTCCATGTTCACATTAATGGGAGAGAAATGAATGATAGCCTCTTCACAGTGACAGGTCTTGCAAGTGCTTCCCATTTTCTGCCACTGAGCTACAGACTGGATGCTGTGGCCAGCCTTCACGGTAGGTCCCCCTTTTGGCATTATCTGCTGCCTTTTCAGTTACATGATGCAGAATGGTGTAGCCCTCCCATTTGCCATCTTTATCCTGCGGCTGTGTATGCCCCACAAGGTGGAAGACCTGTGTGGCAGTTTCCTCTTGGTAAAGAAGTATTCTGCTAAGGTAATCATAGGCATGCCAAACACTTCATTACTGCATTCCTAGTCTATTGATCCTGATACTGACTAACCCAAAGTTGGCTAAAAGAACCAAGATGTCTAAACTTTATACACATGTGATTTGTTAGTGCAGTATAGTTAGGTGACATTTGAACTCAGAAACTTTTGCGGCATATTAATGATACGATTGAATTTGTAAACAACACAACAAATTTGCCTACTCTGTCCGGGCCTACAAATTTTGGGTTTGGAGTTACCAAAGGAGAAGATTATTAGACAGAACTCCCTATATAGCCTCATACACATCATCAATATACTAGGTAACATGCCAATCCTTATGATACTAAGTACAACAATACTTTGCTGCAAAAATTTTGTTGTTGCAGGTACCCCTGCACTGTTAGCCACACAGTGGTACAACTTGCAAAGAAGCCATTTTCCTTGCATTAACACCATATCTCTTGAATGCTGTTGTTTCAATTTTCACCCTCTCATAGTTTGAAGCCACTGTTGTCACTCATAGGCTGCCTCGCAGCATGTTGTGTCAGAATTGCTGCAGACAAGCACACACAGTAACCCTCGCTACACATGCGTAACAAGGGTTAATTACAGGGCTGGCAGCAAACAAAGCTAGTAATGGCTGTATCTCAAGTACATTTCTAGCACAAACCTTCCTTGCACTTGAGTGCTTATGGTACTTTTCTTACTACCAACCATGATACAGATTATCATTGATATGTGAAAGCATTTCAGAATTGGTGCTTTGTGAAAGCATTTCAGAATTGGTGCTTTGAGCATACTACAGAATTTTCTTGGTACACTTAACCAGCCGCGACCAGACCCCATAAGAATTTATATTGGGGTTAACAGCGCTAATACTTTATACATAAAATTCTGCTTATTTATGAAGATACCCATGGCATCCAAAGGGTTTTAAAAGAAGGTGAGTTCGGGATCAGCAGCATAGGTAGCATCTGGTGCATCGATGTCTTGGTCGATGAGGCTGGAAATTAATGGGAGGTTTAAATTGCACATTGAACTGATAGAGCAAAACTCGTGCTCAAAAATTAGTAACGAAATACTCATTATTCTACTGGTTTCAGTGACGACCCTGAACAATGCAGTGCTGACAATCCAGGTTCATGACATTTAACTTTGATAGTCTCTTTACAAAGATCTCCATTCAAAACGACAGCTGAGCAGTAGCTATATACACTACCGGAGAGAGATTTCTAACTAATGGAAGTGTTTGAATGAGCTGTTCAGCATGTATTCTTTAATCATACTGGGTAAAGATACCACATTCAAAGAGCAGAGAGTTGGTTTTCTTTGGTGTATACGGATAAGGGTTAGTCAATGATGTATATTTACTGTGGGAACCTTTTTAATTTATGACTCGCCCAAACCAACAGCTGCAGCCTGGACCAATTTACTGGGAGATCACCAGATGAAGTAGCTACAATGTTACAAGTGGAAAAATCATAGGATGGCTCAAAGCACCAAAAAGGAAAGAATAAGGGGTCATTTCACAGCTAAGACACACAAATCAACATAACATAATCCCTATAATCTTTGTCTGATCATAGTCAATAGAACAAAGATATAGGAGATCTCTAACAGAGATCTCTCCTTTAGAAATGGTTCCCTTCAGGCAAAAGTATCAAATGTTGACATGACACAAAATTCAGTCTGAATAATCAATACCATGTCAGGATTAGCCAGGCTAAATGAAGGAAGTGTGAAAAAGGAGAGGAAGGAGGCGACTCTTTCACCTTCAAAGGACGATCTCTGGTACCTTCCTCATCACTAGACGAAAAAAGATGACAAACTTTTGCAATGTACAGTGGAATACAAGGTATAGCCTTTCCCTCTTACATCCTTTGCTCTTACACCCCTTGACATGTCGAGTTAGCCTTGGCATAGACATAGTCTTTCCACATCCTCTACACTCAGCAGTAGGAACCTAATAAACATCGCTATTACTCTTAAAACTTCCTTCTGCACGATCTTCGTCATCACTAAATGGGATTTGGTGGTCAAGAGGCAAGTCTTGCTGAAGGGGGCCGCACATAGATCTTAGCATGTTGAGCGACGGCTTTCGCTGTGTACCCTTCAATAGGCTGAGGAATGACGACCAGATCCTTCTCCTCCATTCTCATAAGCTCATACCCCCCAGCATTTTCCAGCTTTGGAAATGCTTTAACAAGATCCTCATGCAGCTTCCAGCTGGAGCCATGCTCATAGAACGTGAGTTGCTTGCTACCTAGTCCCAAATTCTGAAGCACAGCCTTCTCTACGGAACCAGGGGTATAATTCTGACCCACCGAAGACAAACAAACAAAGCACCTCTTCCACACTTCCAAACGCCGGGGTGCCTTGGGTCGTTTTGCAAGAGTAGAGGAGTGAAACAAAGCGTGACGCTCCTCCCTAGCACGACGCGGCCCACTTAGTGGAGACGGTAGGTGCGAAGGGGGCCGTGAAACCCCTGTTGACCCTGTACTTTATCAGTGTTGTAGATTGTATTTCATCATTTTAGAAAGGCATTTATATTATTTTTACCCTGTTGAACTTTTTCATTTGTATCAGTGTTGTAGCTACATTGTCTTCTATCACTTTCGAAAAATGTTTATATCAATTTTGACACTGTTGTCACCCCCATAGATTCGTGTGTCTTAGCTGTGCAATGACCCTTTGTTCTTTCCTTTTTGGTGCTTTGAACCATCCCTATATCCCCTTCATTTTGAAGAAATGATTTTTCCAGTTTATTGTAGCTACTTCACCTGGTGGTCTTCCCAGTACATTGATCCAGGCTGTAGCTGTTGGTTTGGGCGAGTCATAATTAAAAAGGTTCCCACCCTAAATATACCTGATTGACTAACCCTTATCCGCATCCGCTAAAGAAAACCAACTCTCTGCTCTTTAAATGTGGCCTTTACCCAGTTATGCTAACAGCACATTCAAACACCATTATCACACAGGAATGCCTGTCCGGTATCCACTAAAGAACCTCCGTGGAACCTGGAGACGTTCGTGAAAAGATCAGCGCTGCAACTTGTTCCGGTAAGGAGATAGCGGGATTGAAGAAGATGATGACGCAAATCGTGAAATCTGGCTATGAGCGTGGAGAACTGAGGGTACGAATAAAGACTTTGGGCATGTGTATAGCTAGATATCGGCCTGTAGACTATTGCTAGTGATTGTTTAAGCCTAGCGAGTCATTCTCGCCAAGTTTTGAGTCGTTTTGTATGCGGATCACGTGAGATTAGACCTGCGCCATCCCTATAATATTATAGATATAATATATAGCGTCTATCAGATCACCTAATGTGAGGCTGTTTACTGTTTCACGATCAACCCTCACACAGCGGCGACATCTGGTTCCAGTCGTATCTCCCAGTGGAGAGGGGAGGAGTCCAGGTCACTCTGATAGTACTGGGACCTTCCACTCTTCGGAGGGGAAGCACCTGCAGTTGGGAAAATCATTGCCTCGCTCCAGCAAAATCGGCATATTTTGCGAGGCCATTGTCTGCACAGCTATAGCTGGCCCCGTCCGCTGCTGCGTCGAAACGCAAAAATGCAGGCCTGTACGTGTATGTCCATCCTTGCGTGTCTTATTCTTATAAAGTTAGGTAAGAGCAATACAGACCCGAAGGTTCTAACGGACTACTATCTTACTACGTACGTAGCCATCGATTCAGCAGTTACTGCGCAGCAGTGCCCGGAGGAGGGAGCGGTGAGGCTGGCCGGTGGAGTATATGGAAACCAGAGCAGAGTCTACGGCAGAGTGGAGATATGCATCAACCAACAGTGGAGCACGGTGTGCGGCTATGACATTGACTGGGGCCAGTTGGAGGCCCGCGTCACCTGCAGGCAACTGGATTTTGCTTGTGAGCAACAACCGGTAGCTACTAGCTCACTGCGTAATAGCTCAATACTGCTTGCAGATGCTATTCCTCTTACTGAATATGGTGGAGGATCTGGACCAGTTTACCATTTTATATGTGACGGAAACGAGATCCAACTTCAGAACTGTAACCGCGAGCTCCTTGGTTGTCCCCACTCTGCAGATGCTGGAGTAATGTGTTCAGATTCTGGTTAGCAAATACTGTCAAACCCTCTCATGACTATGGTGTGAAATGTTTAGCTGAGTGCAATGAGACAGATGTTAGATTGGTGGATGGTGAAACTGCTAGAGAAACTCAAGAAGGACGAGTTGGGATATGTCTCAATGGAGTGTGGGGCTCTGTATGTGATGACAGTTGGGATGCTAGAGATGCTGTAGTAGTGTGTCGACAACTGGGCTACAACACTTGTGAGTCTTACTTTCTGAGGGTGGCTAGCCTCAACCTCCTTTCATACCTTTACTACAGCATCTGTTCCATTGCAAAACCATCCTGTACTCTCAAATTCAACTTTATTCTTTCATCTTGATGATGTTAAATGTGCTGGTAATGAGAGCTTGTTGAGTGAATGTGACCACAAGGGAGTTGGTGTTCACAATTGTGCTGTGAGACTAGAATCAGCAGGAGTTATATGCAGCAGTGAGTTGTAACTCTATTTTTGTCATTATGAGTTTAAGAGCAAGAGATTGCTAGGCATTTCGCAGTGCAAAGAGGCTGATGTCAGATTGGTAGATGGCATAACACTTGAGGATGGTCGAGTGGAGATATGTTTCAATGGGTTCTGGGGTGCAGTCTGTGACGACAGTTGGGACAACAGAGATGCTGGAGTAGTGTGCCGACAATTGGGATATAATGGAAGTAAGTTTGCTGCACCTTTTCTACCCTTCGTTGAAACCTAAGTTCACAGCATCAGTGGCACTGGGTAGCCACCCTGTGTTGTCAAATGCATCACTGTCCTATCATCTGGATGAAGTTGACTGTAATGGAGACGAAAGCATGCTAAGTGAATGTAGAAATGAAGGACTTGGTGTTCATGATTGTGCTTTAAGAGAGGAAGAAGCTGGAGTTTTATGCAGCCGTAAGTTTTATTCCTAATCACTCTTTTTAGAACGATGTAAGACTGGTAGATGGTGTGACTTCTGACGATGGAAGAGTGGAGATATGTATTGGTGGTGCATGGGGCTCAGTATGTGATGACAGATGGGACCAGAGAGATGCCGAGGTGGTGTGCAACCAGCTACAGTACAACGGACGTGAGCGTTGCTCTTCATCTGTAGCCATGCATTCATGCATGAACGTTTCTCCCTCAGCCTCATATCCTCTCCTGAGTCATGGAGGTCGCAGCCTGCGACCATTTCATTTGGATGACGTTGACTGCAATGGAACTGAGAGCATGCTAATCCACTGTGGCTATGGCAGCTATCGGTGTCCACAACTGTAACCAGGGAGAAGAAGCTGGTGTCATCTGCACCAGTGGGTCTAGTTTATCCATTTTCTGATTTATGTGGTGTTGGCATCCATCTGTGTAATTCATCCAAACTTGGAAAGAGTTGTAGACAGAAGAAATCCATAGACTGGAAGTCAGTTTTACTATAATGCACATTTCCTTATCCAGATAAGACATGTGACGAAGGGAGGCTCCACCTAGTGGGAGGTGATGATTTGTCTAGAGGAAGGGTTCAATACTGCTTCAATGGATCCTGGTACTCTGTGTGTGCCGATGACTGGAACACTACTGGCAATGAAGCTGGGGCCATCTGCCACACTCTACGCTATGACATCTCTTTCTATGGTAAAGGCTAGATAAAAATCTATTATACTCTATTGTTTTTTATTATGTTCAGCCGCAGTCTTAGTCGATTACGGACTGGGAATAAATCCTATCCTACCACTGAACATTCAGTGTGCCAGTGGTACCAATACATTTAGTGACTGTTCTACAACAGAGCTGGATGTTAGTCAATGTACAAATGTGGCTGGAGTCGACTGTTTGGGTATGTGAGTCTTATGTGAGAGAGTATTAATCACAATGTGTGTGTTTGTGCTGTTCCCAGCTCCTTGCACAACTTTAGGCCTAACTAGCTGCAACGAGTGCAGCAGTGACTGCTTTAAAGGGTTTGGTTGTAGCTGTTACTCCAACTGCTTTTCAGATGGTGACTGCTGCTCGGATATATCTGCAGCACAATACTGTTTCGGTAAATCAAAGCACACTGTTATGCGTTATGTTCTCATTACTGCTTGAACCAGTTCATAGATGTATATATTACTCAGTGTATAGATTACTGGATGCATTTGTGTGTATAACCTATACTAGGTGAATGTGAACATGGATCAGTTCGACTGGTGGGTGGGGCAACAAACTCCACTGGGAGGCTGGAGGTCTGTGCTCTAGGGAGGTGGGGTAGAGTCTGCAATGCTTTCGGCTACTGGGGTCCCAACAATGCCAGAGTGGTCTGCCGTCAACTAAAGTTCTCTGAAAATGGTAAAAACCATAATAAGTGCAGACTTATACTCGCATTGCCCTATCTATAGATGCATTTGTCCTTGACGGTGACATTGAAAGGTTTGGGGGCAGTGAAAGGGATCCTGTTGTGGGAGAGGTCCACTGTATTGGAAACGAACCAGAGCTGCTGGAATGTTCTCATGCCAGCATCGGAGTCCACTTCTGCGCTGGGTTTAGCAGATTTGATCCCGACATCATCATTAGCTGCTATGGTATAGTGCCATAGCTATAGCTAGCGATTACATGAACAAGCTTTGCACTTCGACAGATGAAGAGACGAGCTGTGAGAATGGAGACGTGAGGCTGCAGGGTGGGTTTGACTCCTCCAGTGGTCGTGTGGAGTTTTGCATAGACTGACAGTGGGGCGGAGTCTGCAGTAATGAGTTGGATATCAACGATGCCAGAGTTTTGTGCAGACAGCTAAACTTTGACATTCATGGTATGAGTATTTTTCAATCACCAACTAGCTAGTCTTAAAATTTTTATCTCACTATTAGATGATATAACAATTGAAAGGTCGGAAGACGCTCCAGTGTTTGTTGGTCAAGTTTTGTGCACAGGTTCTGAGCTGCACTTGAATGAATGTATCTACAAGGCACTAGCACCAGGAGACTGTACCAGTGCAGCAGTAATATCCTGCGGGAAGAGCTCAAGTGAGAATACATACGTAGCCATACATGCAAAGAGTAAGCCCCTCCTCCTCGTTTTCCTTATCACAGATCAGCCTAGATGTGCTGAGAATGTGCAAGCCTTCCCTGCTGCTGATCAAAGGTACTAACAGACAATATTAATTTCCTCTCATGCAATTATGTTCGTTCATTGTAAATGAACAAAAACTAATAGCTTACATTTTTAGACACACAGAGAATTTGCTTTGCGAACTGGCTAATCAAAATAGTAGACACCCATGGATTTACTATGTACATTTTTCCCCAGTTATGGAGAGTGCTCAGTGTACAAGTCAGGAGTTGCCATATGCGATGGTGTGTTGAGGCTGGGCATTGACCACGTGTATGTGAGGTCGAGGCTGGGAGGCCAGAGCACCATTGCTCAGCTACTCAATCAGAACATTGGACAAATACAGACAGTGACAGCTGATCACAGTGATACCTGTGTGAGACAGGTGTTCAGGGCCTTGTGTCGTTACTACCTCCCTCCCTGTGGCAACTCCACACACCCTACCCCTCCTTTCTCCATCTGCCAGGAGGAGTGTCAGCTAGTGCGGGACAAGTGCCAGCAAACATGGGATGCTGTTCTGCCGCCATTGGAGAACATAGACCCAATTATTGACTGCAATGATATTTCCAGGTTGCTGTTTCCACTACCGCACTGCTGCACTGGCGCTGGGCTAGGTATCTCCCTCTCTAATCTCTCTCTGTGTGTCTCTCTCCTCATCACCGCACACTTCTCCTCTCGTGTTTTAGGTAATCTACAAGATGATGAAACATCACAACAGAAGGATGGTGCAACAGTGGCCTGGATTGCAGGGTGGAGCATCACTCTTTATTGTCCTGGCAGCAGTTATGGTAGTGGGTGTTATTGTACTGATGTGGGTGTTGCCCAAAATAAGGAAGATGAAGCGAATAGAGGAGTGCAGCTCGACATACTCGCCAGGTGAGTGTCACTCTGGGCCAATTTGTTTCCACCAGTATAGTGCCCATTGTTCAGTAGCTACTACTGAATCTAGTCTGACAGTATAGTGTCCTGCTGAGCAAGCTGTGAGTGACACCATTAGTGAGTAACACCAACTCATGTGGTCACTATACACAATGGTGTTTGTGACAAAATTTCCTGCTTTGCAAATAGCTCACAACAAGCATTGAAAAACGAGCCATGTTTGATAAGTCAACGCCATTGGTAAGGAAAAGGAGCTAACCAATTAAGGTATAGCTATGCACTAACTTGCAGTCCAGAAAAAGGTTGAGCTCTTAGGGAATTTTCAACTTATCACTAAGTACGGTAATACTTAGTATATAGGGATTGGCATGGCACCTAGCATCATAAATGTATGGGGCTATGATGGGGAGTTTTGTTCATCTTCTTCTCCTTCTCCTTCTTCTTCTTCTTCAGATTGAACTCGCGTAACTCAAAAACGAAATAACATAATTTATAGTAATGAAATTTTGTAAGAATGTAGTATCCATCACCCGAAGAGACTGGTCATACTTATTTCTTTGTAAACAACAACAAATAGCCCCAGGCAATACATTATAATGGGATCACATGTGTCAGTATAACTCACAAATGATAAAAGATATGTGAACGAAACATTGTAGACATAATGTATTCAATCACCAACATCAAAATCACAACATTACATGTTTGTAAACAACAACAAATAGGCTCAGGTAAATTTACTTCTTCACTCCTCAAACTCTGCAATGGTAGCACACATAGAGATGAAACTTGGTACGTATGCCTATTATATCATTTCCATGACGATTACTTGTTTCCATGACGACCACATTTTGTTTGAAAAAGCCTCAGGCAATTTTCTTTAACACCACTTCTTCACTCCTCAAACTTGCTAATTGTAGCACGCATGGAGGTAAAACTTGGTGCGCATGTGTATTACATCATTTCCATGACGACCACAACAACAAATAGCCTCAGGCACCTTTCTTTAAAATTACTTCTTCACTCCTCAAACTTGCTAACGGCAGCACACATGGGGATAAATGCATATCATTTCCATGACGACAACAGGCCTTTATTCTCTATTATATAATTTTTTCCACAGAGATAATACGTAGTAGTATATAAAAATGAGTGGAGACAAAATTAAACATCCTGCGAATTTAAAAAAAGAGGCATGGTATAAAAAGAAAGGGAGACAAGATAGGGATGGGATACATGAAGCATGGTTAATGAACAGATTTGAGTACGCTGACACCCCCAACCCCATCACACAATCCCTATATTGTTGCCTAGGTGAAGTATTAAACGTTCATCGTTACAATACTCAGAACTTACAATACACTACTGAGTAACCAACACCCTTATAGAGCCCAAGTGGAGTTTAATTAAAGGGAATGTGGCAGTATAAATGTTACTAAAAACAACAGGGACACGGTGAAAGAATGCTTGGTAGCACACCAGGCAACAATATAGGGATCTGTGTGATGGGGTTGGGGGTGTCAGCATACTCAAATCTGTTCATTAACCATGCTTCATGTATCCCATCCCTATCTTGTCTCCCTTTCTTTTTATACCATCCCTATATGCCTCTTTTTTTTATTCGCAGGATTTTTAATTTAATGGGGTTTTGAGTGAGGTGCTGTCAGTAAGTGTGACTTACAGTAGATGATTCAGCTGTGTTTGCAGCGAGTTGATACTAGGATAATAGGATTTTTTATTTACTTGTCAAATACTATTTCTTTACTGGCAACCAACCTGAGAATGTTTGCATCTGTGCAGACTAGGGAATGACGGTGCAGTCATTGAATCTGTGACTGAGACAATCGGTGGATGCTGATGAGGTGGAGCCAGGAAGGAAAGGAACTGCTACAGAGTCATTTGCTTCTAGCTACAACCCTTACAGTTGAGCTTTATATTGACACAGAACATCCTTTTTCGTATGGCTCCACGATAATACTTTTTACTTTTAAACTGGTTATGTTTAACGCTAGCACAGGCCTAGTCCCATTCAGATGTAAAGACTGACTGTATGCTTTCCCCATAGAAGCAAAACTGTAATGTTAATCACACAAAGCCATTTTTCAGCCAAGAGACAATCCAGAAATGACATCCTAACAACTCTCTGTTTTGCTTGTAGCTGATCATTTCACGAGCTCGCTGCAAGTATACAGGCCAAAAACACGAGTCCCCACCTACCAAAGGAGAGAGCTGGCTAAAGGAAATTTCATCATTAAACGTGTGGATATTACTTTACTGGACTCTATTGGAGAAGGTGTGCGGCTCATTCCAGTTGACTGTGGTATTGCTCGATCTCACATCCAGGGGAATTTGGTGTGGTATACAAGGCCAGAGTCAGACACTCCAAGAAAGTAGTTGCTGTGAAGACACTCAAAGGTTGGATGCGTTTGCTGAAGTGAAGTAGTCTGTAGAATGAAGGACTAGAGTGGAGGTTGCGTTTTTTAGAATGGAACTAAATTGTGGTATCTCCACTTTAGAGTGGAAGTTTCCATTGTAGAAGAGAAATTTACAATTCCAATGGATGACCTTTATGGGCTCCCCTAATTTTACCTCTCTCCAGGGGACTTTGATCAGGTGGAAGTGAATAAGTTGGTGGAGGAGAGTTTGAAGATGAGTCGGTTCAAACATGCTCATGTGATGGACCTTCTTGGAGTCTGTCTTGAGACTGGTTCTGCTCCTTACATCATCATGGCCTACATGACCAATGGAAGTCTTCTGCAGTTGCTGAAGCAAGAGAGAAACAATATTGTTATCCTAGAGGAAACTGATGAGGATGAGGTCATTAATTTAGTTAGTAGATACACTATTGATGTTCTTGTGTGTGTAGATAATTTCCCTTTCAAGAAGTAGCTAATTGTTTCAAACTAAGGGATGATTGTTTACCACTCTGTAGGTGAAGGAGGTTCGCAAGCGACTGATGGTCATGTGTCTCCAGATTGCCAGTGGGATGGAGTATCTGGCGGCTGACAAGTACGTCCACCGAGACCTGGCTGCCAGGAACTGCACGTAAGCTGTCATACTTCACTTCATAGTGATGATTCATTTGTTGATAGAATAGCGGAGACAAGAGTTTTTGGGCGTACACAAATACATACGTAGATTGCACACTGCTAATGTAGCAAACAGACAGTCGTGTATGAGAATGTTCAGCAACTGAACACATATGGTGTCTGCATATCTATAGGATTGATGAACATTTCCTGATCAAGATCGCTCATTTTGGTCTGTCCGAGGATGTGTTTGAGCAAAACTACTTCCGACAGGACCGAAGGGAGGCCATCAAGTTGCCTGTCAAGTGGATGGCTCCAGAGAGTCTCAGTGACGGACACTTCTCTGAGAAGAGCGATGTGGTAATGAGCCGTTACATGCATGAACCCTTCATAACGTCATATTTACAGGTCAATTATATGTCTCGGGTGTATCCTACCTATTTTACACATTCCCTAAACCTACCCTGCTGTTTACATGTTCTTGATAATAATATTATTGACACAGTGCATTCCAAAAGCCAGCTATATAAGAGCGTTGAGTGTTATTTCTACACTTGGGGATACTGTGTTATCATTGGTATTGTGTGATGATTTCTTGTTTGCCTCCACAGTGGTCCTATGGAGTGACAATGTGGGAGATATTCAGTGGAGGGAAGGCTCCATATCCTGGTACCAATCCCTTCACCCTCATGCAGAACTTGGAACAGGGCTACCGGTTGCCTCAGCCATATAACACTGTCTGCAGCAAGGAAATGTAAGCATTAGGGTCCTTGACGCCAAACTTGAAGGACAAAATTAGTAGCCCATATATATCCCCTTAGGTTTTTGTCAAGTGTTTGCAGCAGGATAGTTCAACAACCTGTTAGCTATATAGCTACATAAAGAATAGCGTGCAACATCTAAAGGGAGGTTGTGAGTCCAATAAAACTTATGTAATTAACAAGCAAAGGTTGATACAAGAAAACTGACAGGATTGATTGTCATAAGAAACCACTCACTTGGTCGTCCAATCTGTTCATGATCATGTACCTATAGCGTCTGCTTGATATTTACTTGCCTTGTGCTTTACCCTGTAGCTAGCTACATTATAAATCTCAAGCTCTTGCATGCATAATGCAAATCAAGTCAGTACATCGATTGTACGTTTATTTGGGATACTCATTTCCAAGTCTTGGACTTTAACTAGTAAAAACGGCTGCAAAATCAGCCTAACCCCCAGGGACCTCCATAACCACTGTTTGCGCATAATTGTCCACAAAACTAAAGGTGAACAGTAAATTTCTCTGGCCACAAAGATGACTAGGATTGTGCATATTGAGTACGTGTATTTGTTGGTTTCTCTATCCAACTTATATAGCTATGAGATAATGATGCAGTGCTGGGTGACGGCACCAGAAGACAGACCAACTTTCAAGGAGCTTTATTTGACTACCTCCAATTATATTGAACATATGGCGGGCTACCTACAGTTAGGATTCAACCCTTTTGCTGAAAGGAATGTGGGAGAGAGAGAGGAAGGAGAGGAGAAGACTGAGCAGGAGGAGCAAGAGGAAGTACAAGTAGATGACTCAATCCAACTCCTTCCTCAGTGAACAGTAGAGCACATAGGCTCTTTAGTAAAACACTGACCGATTTTTGATTTTTGATGCTACCAAGCTGTTATAATGTTATCAGTTGCGGTATTTATTATTTCTGCTTTACAGTACATGCATGAAAAGGATAAGGATATAGGATTGCCATGGACATGGACATGAAGCTAGGGGCGGATATGGCAATCATGGATATCACTCGATATACAAACTATAGCTATCTGGTCATTAAGCCCGGGGGTTGAATCCTGACTTCATTCTAGATCCACGATGTACGATCCACAAAATATACAGGGATGATATAAAAAGCAAGGAAACAAGAGAGAGATGACCTGGTGTATGTGATGCAGTTGTACAATAGATGATGGCTATATACAAGTATTTCAAACTAACATTGTCAGCTTATGTGCATTTTCCTCCACAATTATTGTCGCCAAGTTTACTCTCAGCATGAATGTGTGAAGGTGAGGGTAATGGTGAATGGATTCTCCGGACAGCAGCATTGTGTACTTGCTTAAGGAAATAAGTCATTCTATGAGGAGCGAGTCATGGGTGTAGTTGACTTGTTTGCCTTGCCTGGCCTTTCTACCTCGTTTGAGACATGCTTTGTGACAATGTAGGGCTTGTGTGGGGGAAAATGCACATGAGCATTCTATGAGGAGCACACTCATACGCAGCAGTAGTTGGTGTCTGTGTGTTGACGCTTATTCTGGCACTACAGGCTACGGGGCCAGCGGCTTCAGAACTACAAGCGGTAGCCTTAAAATATAAATCCTGAAACAACTGCGTGCCGTGAAAACAAGCGAAAAGCCAATATGCATAACTTGAATTTTTTGGGCTGCTCGAATCTGAGAATAATTACTAATTAGAGCTCAAGACACTCAGTTGTCAGTTTCTGAGGTAGGAGCGATACTTACTTCTTCCACTTCTTACTCCGCTACTCCGGCTCCATCTTTACTTGATCGACTCAAGGCACTCGACAGCGTCAGCCAAAAATGATTAACCCTCGGCGCGCATGCGCAGCGAGGGTTACTGTAGTCGTTCGTGTGTGTGTCTGTGTGTCTCTGTCTGTCTGTCTGTCTGTTACTCTACATCTCACTTCTCGAGTGTTTTCGTCTCACAAACGATACGACCTACTTAACGGGCAATGAAGGTCAGAAAGTTCGAACGGTTTTCTCTGAAAGTGCTCCGTTGCAAAGCTAGAGCGCTCCCACCAGTAGTCGCCATTTTGTCGCTGCGGAAAACGACCGGGTCCGCTTGCTCTGTGTATCTTGAAGGCACAAGAAGACACAACGAAGGGCGTGTATCGACTCCCGCATTCTATCTACTGCTGTAGCTAGCCCGTGTAAGACTCTCCGCGAGCTACTAGCGGGAGAGACCACGAGTAAACGCATACCAAATAGCCCAGCCCATCAATTAGCGGTATATAGAGTTCGCCGACTTGCGTCTGAAATTTATATAGAATGACGTATTTGAGCACACCTCGGCCCGCGCAACTACTGGGCATGTGCGAACATGAGAAAATGGCGTACTGGGTGACTGAAACGGTAGCTGATGATGATGATTTGACGAAGGACGTTGCCTCTCTCAGAGCCATCCTCAATGAAAGCGTTCCCTTCCCAGGTAAGCTGGACCCCGCTGGCAAAAAATCGTGCAGATATCGCATCAACATCTATTTTCTTTTTCCAAGACATGAAGTTCTTGCCCCCCTCATATGCAGTGGAGATAGAGAGAGAAAAGAGTGCGTGCAGTGCTGTTACCGAGCTCCAGATATGTCTCGACAAAAATATAGCCGTACAGGTAATAAAAGCAAATTTCGTATGTACATGTACATATGTCACTACAAAATATTGAACAAACACATGTACAGCGTGCAACATGTGGAATGAGTGTTAGGCATGTGTGCGTCGCAAGTATTTCTATCTTCGCAGCAGGGCACGACGGGGATTGTGAACCTAGCCTTACAGAGGTGCGCATGAAATATAAAATTTTCTTCTGCATAAGTTTCCTGCTATACAATACTTAACACTAATAACTCATCTCCGCTGCCTACCATATGTAGCTCTTCCATAGCACAGTAGTAGTGCACTTGCCCAGGAGCTGATATTTGCTAGTACCTTTCTATCATCTATCAGCCTACAAAGCATGAGATGCACGAAACCTAGCGAAGAAAGCTATCTGTGTCAGCACTTATATAATGACTAGTGTATACGTGAGTGACAAGTCTATGATCGGGGTTCACCTCAATTTGTCGGTCAGCCTATTAGGGACTGTATTATCTCTGCAGGACTTGCTGAATGCTAAACTGGGGGAAGTGGAGCTGGCTATGGCAGAGAATGAACAAAAGATGGTAATGAATGCGTACTAGACTTGTACATCAGTGTAACCAGTATCAAACGACCACCTATAGACAAGTATGTGCATGTTGATGACACATACATTTGAAGTTGGGTGTCCAGCTACGCACACACGTACGTTGACTGCTGTTGCTATGCGTACCCAATGCTGCAGATATCTGCTTACTGTGTTGCTTATAAGGGCGTAGCCAACGGCACAAGTAGGAGGTCGCTTGGTCAGTTGGTGCTTATGCCACTGGAGTAAGTCACGGGTTAGAGTGCACTTTAAGCTGCTTAAGGGAATACGAGCCAGGGTCATGAGCTAGCCTTGAGTGTCGCAAGCGCCTAAGCATTTTTGCATTACCAGTGTGCCAGGTTAGGTTACCCGTAGCTGACAGGGTCTCTAGTGGAGTGTGTACAAGTCTAACGCAATATATTATTACTTCTGAAGCAGAGCACCCTAGAGTCGAAACTAGCAATGTCCTAGGTCCGCTACGAATACATAAGAATATGGTTCTTGTTTCATTGAACCAGACATCTCCTGCAAGTTCAGTAGTTATTGAACTTTCATAGTAGTCATACAGCACACTTTCTATGATACACATTATGGGATGGGTTGTGCCTTTGATCTGTCTACGCAAGTCACAATTTGGTGTGTTAAGCCAGGCATAATTATGACTTCAACTTATTACAGATGCTCCATACATGAGTATAATATGACCTGGGCACTTCAGTAGGCAGGTTATACTTGCTAAAAGTATCGTTTGCGTATTATACCGCTAGTGCGTGCACAGTTACAGTGCCAAACACTAAGAGAGTAGATAGTGTGTGTTCAAAAAGATGTATATGCCAGCTACATTCTGGAGTTATATTTGCTATGCTGGTACAGAGGGAGCTGGAGAGACTGGTGAGGATGAGGAAGACACTGAAGAAAGGAATCTTCACCATCTGGAGGAGGAAGAGGAACAACTACTTCAAGGACCACAAAGGACAGGTGTGTGTTCATGTGCAAATATATTTCAGGGTGCTAATTATGGCTTAGAGCTATAGGTAAATGTGTTCTTCATAACTTGGTCGCAAAACAGAGATTTACATTGTCTGTGAAAGCGTTCATAGCCAGATACCTCTTGTAAATACAGCTCACGCTTTACTTACATACTATATAGAAATAAGGAAGAGAAAGAAAAAGAGAAGGGCTGCTGGGGCTTCACTTGACATCTACAGAGATAAAACGCAAATACAAACCAAGGGCTAGCAAATCAATTTATATGCGCACGCGCGAGCTAGTACAGAGTGGTAGTATGTGGTCAACTTTTAGTCACCTTGTCCTTGATTGCGAAAGGGACAGCATGTTGATGGCGGATCCACGGTGTCGTACCTGGCTACATATTTAGGTGAGCTTTGATCTTTGTCATGGTGCCCAGGCCAGGCTCCCGATTCTTTTGTAGTAAGCTATCCTCTCTGAGTGACAGGATGGAAGCCCATTCCAGCCTTACATATATCTGAGAGTAGATCTCTCTCTAGGAGAGTTAGCCCACTACCTCTGACCAGAGTATGTGGGTACCCTGGTGTGTGTGGTACTTCACTGACACAGCCAGTATCCAAACACCCAAGTTTCCAAGGTGTAGATCTTGCGCTGCCCTTCATGTGCCGCTGTGGCCTTGTTACGTTTTTGGACCTGGCTTTCTACTTCCGCTGCGACACACCTTGGCTATGTTGCCGACCTTCCGACGCCTATGGCAAGTGCCATCTTGGAAGGTGTAGTCATGGCCTAGGTGCCCGTCGGAGCCACAGTGGTGGCACGCTGCACTGCAATGGTTTACGGGAGGGTGACCACGGCAGTGGCCGGACTAGTTACCCCTGCTCCAAAAGCTGACTGCGTGGTGCTTATGCCACATGAGTAAGTCACGGGTTAGCTTTTGGTTGCGTGCACTTGAAGCTGCTTGAGGACACACGAGCCAGGGTTACAAGCTAGCCTTGAGCGTCTTCTGCACCTAAGGATTTTTGCATTATCTGTGTGCCAGGTTAGGTTACCCGTATCATGGAATGACGCTACTGAGCCAAGCATCACCTCAGTCCTCTCTGCTCCGTCAGTGTCTGATAATAACCTGTATGACATGTGCAATAATTGAATAGCTAACATGCAACATACACTGAAGTGTGGTCACATGACACTAAATTAATTCCGGCTGTACACGTGTTTTGTTCTTTTACCCTCCTTCTCCTGAAGATCTAGCTATTGATGCCACCATTTCTCTCTTTCAGACTCCACCGACTCTTGTTGTTGGCAACAACAGTCTTGATCAACTAGGGAGTGCTGCCTACTTTGCTGGATTAAATTGTAAGCCTTTGTCCTTCACAGCACCTTTTGTTAAATGAGACTTGGCACATACATACATTGTTATACACAGAGGGGTACCTACTCTTCACAGCCGCACTATGTTATTTGTATGCAGAGTACTTTGGTTATACATACCGCTCTTTAGGGATGAGAAACAAGGTGTCAAATCCAGATTCGAAACTGATGGAAGGAGTGAGAAGGCAGATAATTGACAGTCTTACTCAACCACTTCAGGCTAGGTCTGTGTGTGCACATGTATGTCAGGGTTTATTGAGGGAGGATTGCACTGGTAAAGACAAACTTTACTAGTCCTGCAGTTGGTTTCAAAGGAAGAAGATGTGGAGTTCAAAGAGTGGAAGATTCCTCTTTACCCAATGTGTAGAATATGACCGCTGAGGGGGAGAGTTGGAGGGAATGGGAGATGTGACAGTATGTAGGGAAAAGTGAGAGGAAGGGGAGGGGAAGGGAGTGATGAATTAGGGGTGTAAACACGAGGCAGCTGCAATTCAACGACATGACACTTTTCAAAGAGCTGCCGTAGGTTGGACTTAAACCCACGGCACTCATTTCTCTAGATGCATGCTCTAGCACTGAGCTATATACCAGGGCAACTCGGCAATAAGTCTGTAATGCAGAATGACACAAGGGAAGTGAGAGAGGAAAGAGAGAGGGGGTGGTGGTGCGTGAGGGAGATAGGGGCAAGGGAGGGAGGGTCCAGAAAAACTAAAGAGGGAGGGAGAGAGGCAAGAGAATGATATTTCATACTCTATATAATATAGTTTAATGAAGACAACAGATAACGAGCAGAAGTTGTTCCTTCGTAAAAAGATCAAGGAAATATGGTTAGTAACGTGTTCCTATTCAGAATCAATTTACTACTGTTAAGATTTTTGCTGTCTATTATACAGTAAGCACACTATTAGTCAATTGGTGAGGGAGAACATCATAATTGACTGGGCTCTTCTTGCCTATGAGCAGGTATGTACTATAGTTGGAAATAAAATCCATCTGCCGATCTCATCGACCTCTCTTCCCTTTCCTTCTCAGTTCAACAATTCCCATACTGCAGCTGACTGTGAACTTCGTTGGAGAGGCCACACCCACCCTGGTGTCAACAAGGTCAGCTCTCTCTCTTTTGCTCTCTGTATTGGGCTGAATGAACAATGTCACGTTCTTACATGTATGATGAAAGCACTCAAGAGCAAACCCTCGGCGCACTAGAAAACGCATGTGCGTATTTGCCGTACCGCTAATTGATGGGCTGGGCTATCTCTACCACTCTACATACTCGTGGTCTCTTGCCAGCTCTGAGAGTCTGTGACAGGCTGGCTATATAGGATGCGGGAGTTGATACTTGCCCTGCATTGCAACTTCGGGTGCCGCCACGGTACACAGAAGAAGCAGATCTGTCAAGGTAGGCCTTGGGAATTTCCTTAGTGGCTTGTTCACTTGATTTTCACGCCATAACTTTTCGAACGCATTACTTTTACGAAATTCGCACAATTTACAATCTAACCAGTAGCACTGAAATGTTTGGTATCGCTCTTTCATTGTCTTGTTGGCGCGTGGTGGCAGAAAACGTCGTAACAGACAGACAGACACACACGTACGAACCAAGTACCGTAAGCCTTGCTGCACATGCGAGCCGAGGGTACTATTGCCCGCCCCGTTCTCTCTGTTATCATTTTCTCTCGTCCACTCCAGGCAGTATGGAAGAAGCAAGAGGACAAGGAGTTAATGATAATAGCAAAGACACACAACTTCTGCAATTGGACCCTCATTGCTACCGAACTAGGAGTGAGTTTATTCTTGGACTGTTCATACTGGGTGTGGCAGAGTAAGTCAACAGCACATGTTGATGCTGTGGGGTATTCATTGTAAATCATACCATAAGGGTGGCTCTTTTCTACCTCAAGAGAGACTGTCTCTCTCAGACATGATCTAACTACTTGTATTCTTGATCAAGGCTATCACCTGTGTACAGAAAAGGATAAGCTAAAGAGCCCTGATGGCATAATAGGGCACCCATGATGCATAGCTCACAAGCTTCTACTCTATAGGGAGGGCACTAATGCAACTCTCTCACCAATGTTTTGTTTTGTACATACACAAGTGGAAAAATCATTTCAGGGGGATATAGGGATGGCTTGAAGCACCAAAAAGGAAGAAACAAGGGGTCATTACACACCAAATATGCACAAAGCCACATGACACGATCCCTATATCTTTGTTTTATTGTTCATAAGCAAAGTTTAATATGAGACAAAGATATAGGGATGGTGTCATGTGGCTTTGTGCATATTTGGTGTGTAATGACCCCTTGTTTCTTCCTTTTTGGTGCTTCAAGCCATCCCTATATCCCCCTTTCATTTTGAAGAAATGATTTTTCCACTTGTTTCCACTATTTTTAATGGCTTATGACAACACTGCATTTTCAGTCACTCTGATGTTCATGGGTATGTTGTAGAAGAAAGCAGAAGCTAATGGACTGCTCTTACCTACCTGAAGCAGGGTGTATGCGTAGTGTCTCCAACAAGGACGCGATTAGGTTGTGGCACATATGGTGGTGGTTTTTCATTTGGGCAGGCTTCGGAAATCAGACTACAATAATAACCTGGGGGACAAAGAATGAAGGCGCCTGGCAAGGCACGCGTAACACGGCGCAGATTGCCAAGTTGCTCCTCGTGCAAATCAACAGCAAAACGCAAGCTAGCCAGTTACAAATGTGTACACTGACTTACAGAAGACATTGGAGGATGACAGTAGTTTTCTCTGCAGGCATCCAGTCCTGGCTTAGTCTCGTTCGTGGACCAGGTTTACGAGACAAAATGCGCGCGCACCGCATTGGAAACGCCCTCCTCGGCGCATGCGGCTCACTGATGCTGAGTTAGCAGCAAATGGCGTTGTTCAGTGACTACTGAGGAAGAGCTCAACGATCTACCGTAGTGACTTGCGGCAAGAAACAAACGATCGCTTGATATGCGTGCACACCTCCGGCAAATTCGGAGACGTTCTGTGAAAACATCAACGCTTCAAGTGCTTCCGGTAAGGAGCTAGCGGGTCTGAAGAAGAAGAAGAAGATGATGATTATGATGACACGAAATTCGTGAAATCGCGTATGAGCGAATTCTCGCGTGAACAACTGAAGGTGCGTATGAGGTCTTGGGGGACATGTATAGGTAGATATGGGCCCGTAGACTATTGCCAGTATGTTCTGAAGGCCTAGGGAGTGATTATCACCGAGTTTTTAGTCGTTTTGTATGCGGATCACGTGAGATTTCACCCGTGTCATCCCTATATAGAGAGTCTACCGACTCTCTAATAATTATGCATTTTCTGTCTGCTCTCCACAGACCAACAGGACAGGGTTCATGTGTCTTCAGAGATATCAGCAGAGCCTTAATCCTACCAAAATCACCAAGTAAGGCTCCGTACTCCAAAGCTGAGATCTGTGCCCTTTAGTTTATTTTCTCTCGTTGTCAGCTGCATAATGTTGGACCTGTGTAACTTTTGCTAATTGTAGGGTCTTCAGCATGGATGATGATACACGTCTGAGGGAAGCTGTCAGGATCTACGGCGAGAGTCGGTGGGGCCTGGGTGAGTGGGAATTAATTGTGTTCCTCCCTCTCTCTACTGGATAATAATGTTTTGCCTTTTTTGGAGAAAACTGTTGTACAAATCGCCTACCTATAGTGTATATAGTTTGCTCTCACTATAGCTATGCAATAAAACGAGAGGCACTGGAAATGAGGTTTATGGTAACAAGGCTGCTTAAGCAGACAGCTTTCTCCACTAGAGGCGATTATGATCAAGACATTCCTATTCCTATCTTTGACTTCCTTGCCTCTCCCTCCCTTTCTTGTTTACCCTCTGCTCTGTCTCTCTCCCTCCCCCCTCCTCCCTCAGTGTCGGCATACGTGGATGGCAAGACACCATCTCAGTGTATGCAGCGATGGGTCAACTCTCTCAAACCTGGGATCAAGAGAGGTCGCTGGAATGATAAGGAGGACAAGGTACATACTTCAAGATTGTAACACTACAGTTGCTCTTGGCAGTTACTTTTGTCCTCTGTTAGGCCTTTACATTGCTCTCATATTATCTCTCTCCCTAATTTTTAACCCTTGCCGGCATGCGTACGCAGCTAGGGTTATTGTAGTCGGTCTGTGTGTGTGTGCATGCGTGTCTGTCTGTCTGTCTGTCTGTCGTCTGTCTTTTTACCAGAAATCGCAGCCGTTCTGAAGGTGAAATGCGGATATCATTGTAGGCATTAGCTATGCTCGCGGTAATGAAGATTTTGGAGCAGATAGGGCTGCAGATATGGCGCTTCTTGCACATATATAGATGAGATAAGAAGCTAACAACTAACACAGGGAGTGGATTAAGTGCTACTGAGCTTCCGTCACATTGGATATAAAACGGCAAGGGTTATGCACTGTAAGGTGCTTTTCATTTAGCCATGAGAGTTATAATTGTACACCCCTGTGAGTGATTTCCTATCATTATTATTGTCAGCTACTACGAGAGGCAGTCAGAAAATGTGGAGTTGGGAGCTGGGCAAATATCGCCGCATTTGTGCCCTGCAGAACCCAGGCCCAGGTCAGAAGGAATAATGTGTAACAAGGGAAAAGAGGGAGAATAGTCTCAGTCCCAGACTCTTTCCTGTATACACATTTTACGCATGCGCAGTAAAAGGGGGAGGGGAGGGGAGGAAGTGTCTGGGGACAAGGCTTACCCTACGGCGGATCCTGGAATTTTTATTTGTGGTCAGACACTTAGCATTGGGATTGGGGGTTATTTAAAGTCACATAGAATATTATTACAGTGTATGTGTGGCATGGGAATATCAGTCTGTTGCAACGACTAGGTTGGCTTGCTCCCGCTCGCCACTAACTTCTCTTGTGCCCAGGTGAGGGAGCGGTGGGTTAATCATATGGACGAGAAGTTGTCCAAGACGGGATGGACTGAGGAGGAGGACAGGAAACTCATTGCTATCTGCCAGAGATACTCCTCGGGTCTGTCTGCCTCACTGAATATTCATGCATGTTAGGGTACCTGTAAACTGATTATCCAATTACCGGTTCATTAATAGTACAAAATTTTCACCTATGATTACAGGTGAAAAAGTTGTTAGAGTGACTTCATTATAGTTTACATTCTACATTCATACACCCTGCCACAAACAGCATTGGAAAGTACAAGGCACAGTATCACAGTGAACACTGATCCCTTCTTATCTTTTCCCAGGCCCCATCCCCTGGTCGTTGGTAGCCAAGGAGATGAGAACCAGGACGGACAACATGTGTTACACTCGGTGGCGCTCCATCAGCGATGCTCCCACCATCTTCAAGAAGTACTCAGAGTCATACAAACAGAAGGAGACTGTCATGACCAACTTTGTCGGGCGCAAACGATGCAGACACAGTCTCAGGAAGGATGTGAGGATCCATCCTCGGTTCATGTCTCCTCCCCTTCCTCCCCCTCTCTCTTTCTGCCCCCTCTTTGTTTCTGTCCTCCCTCTATCCTTCCTCCTGTCCTCTATATTCCTGTTACCCTCTGTAGTTCACCTGATAACGCACGTCATACGTGTCAATATACGTTCGTTCAGCCTATATACCAGTTCTTCCCTGCTTATAGCTCTTTGTCATTGGCTATTAATTAATAATTGAAAAGTTCAAACCCTCAGCTCACTGCGCATGCGCGGTACCGCTAATTGATGGGTTGGGCCAAGAGTATGCGTTTACTCGTGGTGTTTACGCTAGTAGCTCGCAGAGAGTCTGACACGGGCTAGCTACACAAGTAGATAGCATGTGGGTCGATACACACCCTTTATTGTGTCTTTTTGAGCCTCCAAGGTACACAGAGCGAGCTGATTAGCCCAGTGCGATTATGCATATTGGCTTTTTCGCTTGTTTTCATGGCATATCTCTCAAATGCAGTCGTTTCAGGAAAATCGCCTTTTTAATTTTCAGGCTCGTGTAGTTCTGAAGCCGCTGGTATCGCTAATAGGCCACCTCGTGGCCTGTAGTACCAGAATAAACGTAGACACCACAGACAGACTGACAGACAGACTGACAGACAGAACTACTGTAACGCTCGCTGCCTACGCGCTCCGAGGGTTAATTAAATCATGCCAGTGGTTCAAATACATAATGTGTGCCATATTGTCTCATTTCTGTGCTCAGGACATTGAAGAAATGGTACCAGAGGCCACAAAGGAAAAGGTGCAGTGTTAGTTAGTACGTACTCAATCCATCCTTAATTGGGGCTAAGAATCAAGCACTAGTGCAAACCCTCGGTGAACTGCGCATGTGTGACACTGCTAATTGATGGGCTGGGCTATTAGTATGTGTTTACTCGTGGTCTCCCTCTAGTATAACTCGAGGAAAGTCTGAAACAGGCTAGCTACACAAGTAGACTGCATGTGGGAGTCGACACACGACCTTCACTGTGACTTCTTGAGTGAGCTGATTAGTTCGCAGTAAGACCCAGTGCGATTATGCATATTGGCTTTTTCGCTTGTTTTCACGGCATATCTCTCGAACGCAGTCGTTTCAGGTACGCTGAGCAAGCAGATCAGGTCGCGGTAAGCCCAGTGCGATTATGCATATTGGCTTTTTCGCTTGTTTTCACGGCATATCTCTCGAACGCAGTCGTTCAGGAAAATCGCCTCTTTTTTTCCAGCTCGCGTATAGTTCTGAAGCCGCTGGTATCGCTAATTGGCCGCCTCGTGGCCTGTAGTGCCAGAATAAGCATCGACGTCGAGGGTTAATGAAAGCCACTAAAGCGCCAAAGTGGAATTGTCATCTGATGTGTGTTTACCAAAACGATTGTGTATTAAGCATGTACAGAGTCTATAGCACCAACTGATGCCTTCCAGTCTGGGTATATCATATCAGTAGGAAGGATTATAGCCTTTACTCACTCTTTGTGTGAACTGCATGAAACATGGTCAATTACTTAAGAGCATATTTGGTTGTCGCTTCCTTTCATGGATGTATAATATACTAGCCATAGAGAATGAAAGTGCAAACCCTTGCAAGCTGCGCATGCGCGGTACCACTAATTGATGGGTGGGCTATTAGAATGCATATTTACTTGTGGTCTCCACGCTAGTAGCTCATGGAGAGTCTGACACGGGCTGTAGCTACAGTAGTAGATACTACGCATGCGGGAGTCGATACACGGCCTTCGTTGTGCCTTCACGATACACGGACCAAGCTGACCCTGTCGAGGTAAGCCTGTGCTGATTAGCAATTGCCTTGTTCACTTGGTTTTCACGCCATAACTTTTGGATGTAGTGTTTTTACGAAGCCAGCCAGTTTTAAAATCAAGCGAGTGTGGCGCTGAACCCATTGGTGTCGCTTTTTGGCCGGTTTGTTGCACATAGTGGCAGAAAACGTGGTGACAGACACACAGACCAAGTACTGTACCCTCGCTACGCATGCACGCCGAGGGTTAATAACAAGAAAGAAAAGAAAGAAAACCCAGAAGTCATCCTCAACCCAAGTATACACACGAGACAATCAACACACTTGCACATAAAAACGTAGGACACCAGGTGCCCAGCCTTGAGAACTGGGGCAGTGGGTTAAAGAGTCTTTTACGGCTTGACAACTCTCCCCACACACCAAGTGTCCACACCTCACGACAAACACACAATCACAGTACACTATACAGAAGGCAGTAGAAGAATTATTTAAAAGAGGCAATAAAAAATCTGTATGATCAGTCCGTAAAAAAATAGACAAATAGAAAATGAAAAGCACTGAAGTGCAAACCCTCGGCACACTGACGCGCATGCCGTACCACTAATTGATGGGCTGGGTTTAGTTTCAGCTGTTACTTGTGGTCTCTTGCCAGCTCGCACAGAATCTGACGCGGGCTAACTACAGTACTAGATTGTATGCGAGAGAGGCTGATACACGCCTGCGTGCATCTTCTGGTGCCACTGCTCCGAAGTACGCAGAGCACGACCGCGGTAAGCCATCCGTCCGTTGCGTATTGCATATTCGCTTTTTGCGCTCTAGCTTTGCACGGAGCATTTTCAGAGGAAAACCCCCATATTTTCGACCTTCGTCGCCCGTGGGTAGAGGCGTTATCGTTTTGGACGAACAGACCTCGAGAGGTGAGATGTAGAGTAACAGACAGACACACGGGACATACCCAACTACTGTAACCCTCGCTGCGCATGCGTGCCGAGGGTTAATAAATATAAAATCTGGAGAGAAAGAGAACGACAACTCATTTCACAGACCATGCTCGGCTCCAGTGTGGAGCGGCTGTGCAATGATTCTAGTCTTACAAATCGATATTCAAGCGAGAGTAGAACTGAAGCTGTTGTCGTCACTTTGGCTGCTTCATTATGCATGGTGACGGAAACGTAATAAGAGGGGGATCACATGCCAACCCACTACTGTACTCTGTATATAACCCTCTCCGCACCTGTGTGCTGAGGGTATAGCTTGGCTATCACAGTTCTTTTCCTCCCCCTCTACCCCTGTGCAGCTCAAGTCCTATGAAGAGATGTTGGAAAGGAAGAAAAGTCGCACACGAGAATTACAATTGCCAGGAGACCCCTCTGCTGATAGTAGCGGTGCCTCTACATCAGGAGCTAATGGTGGGGGCACATCAACAAATAGAGTTACTGCATTTCCACCTACTGATATGGGGGCTTCAGCAACTAACGATGGACGTATCGACAACTTAGAAAGAAGTTCACCTAACACTGCCAATACTGCCACTCCAAGTGGCACCGTGGATGCAACACAGCCTTCTTCATATTCATTTCCTCAAGGAAGATTTCTATATATTCCCCCCTCCTCTTCCCCTGAATCTCTCCCCACAGCCTCTGTTCGCCCACCCACATCAAAACCCTCAGATCCCCAACCTCATTCTCAGTCCCTGCCTGATCCCCATCCCCTGCCACCTCCCACTCTCCCTCAATCCCTCCCCACCTTCTCTCTCCCTTTCCCTCCTCCTCCTCTTCCTCCTGGGCCTCTGCTGATCCCACACAACATCAGAACTTTCCTGAGTAATACCGTCCACCTCCCATCAAGACATAGTCTCCAAGGAGTGTACACTCTTCCTCCTTTTCATCCTCCTACACCCCCCACCACCTGCCTCCCACCTTCTGGGTCCATTAGTACTGTGCCCTTCTCTGAGTCCGAGGTAGACTCTGGGTCCCACTCTAGTACCACCCCCCTGAGGATTGGGAACCTACTGGTGCCAGTTCAGCGACCCACTCGCAGAGTTGTTGCTACCATTTGGCCATCATCTAGAACAGAAAGGGCACCCTCTACTTTTCCCCCTTTGTTCTCTGGTCAGGAAATGGGTGGTGTAGGAAACGTTAGCAGCCCTACCCCACTGCAACAGACTTGCCACAATCTACCAGTCGCCATCAGTGCTCACTCTGTCTCGGATACTCACTGTTCCTCCTCTCTCCCCCCTCCTCTCCTCCACCTAGCCACCCCAGCTGGTGGCAACATTAGCAGCTGTATTGGTGAGGCCATGAACACACTCCTGCAAGAAGCCACTGCCTCTGGAGATGAAGCACCAACTCAAACTGCTAATAACAGTTCCCTTTCTAGAGACAAGACTCCTAATAGAGAAAGTACGCTCTCCACTGTGCCTGCTATGTCGTCCAAAGATTGTGACGGACCACAGGGTGGCCAGAGTTGAAGAATTTTGCCTAGGTGTAAAATCCCTTTCAAATAATTATTGTGAATGATCCAACATTGATGGTGTAATGCAAGTGTATTACCTGTTGCTATAATTATAGGTCATTGCTATGTTTATTTACAAACAATTATCCTTTACCACACTCAAGAGGGTGCGAAGGTGAGAGTATCACCAGTAAGGTAAAAGGTGACTATCCACTGTGGCAATGCAAGGCTAAGTATAGATTTGATGATGGCAAGTATGAGCATGCAGCGCTTGCTTGTGTAAAATTCCTCCACGCAGGCCCTATATTATCGCGACCTTTACTGTTTGTTTAGTGAAGTGCGAGGACAATGGTGAAAGAATTCTGTATGTAGATGGCCAAGAACTCAGCAATGTAGAACTGGTTAGTTGAGCAAAATGTTAGAAGTCTTAGACTCCACACAAAGCAGTCACAACTGAAAACCAGAATAGATGGTATTACCTGTCGAATGTGCTTATGAAATGAAAAGCACTAAAGTACATGCAAACCCTCGGCGATACTGCTAATTGATGGGCTGGGCTATTTAGTATGCGTATACTCGCGGTCGGTCTACCGCTAGTAGCTCGCGGAGAGTCTGACACTGGCTAGCTACAGTAGTACTACTACTACAAAAGAGCATGTACCAAGAAATGGCTTAAATCGCATAATCGGTACTTGATTTATTTTAAAAGTCAGTTTTCAATTTTCTTCTTCTCGTTGTTGTTGTTTTTGTTGTTCAGTTTAGAAAAGCATATCTCAAAAACCACTTGGATGAAATGGAGATGAAACTAAAACCAAAAAAAACAGCCCCAGGCCATACATTATGATATCGACCAATAATAAAGTGTGCTAACTAGGTAGAGCAAATAAGAACTTTGTACACGCATGAAGGTTAGACCATGTGATGCCAAGAGAAAAAAGATGCAGAGCTCTGGACAGCTGTTTCGGGCTTGTTGGCTCTCATCAGCAGAGCATACCCCAACTTGTAACCCATCATTAGTATCAAAATGTAAGAATTACAAGTTTGTATATAAACAACAACAAACAGCCTCAGGCAATAAAAACTTGTAAAATGTGTTTGTGCCTATATAACTTATGGTGTATCCTCTAACAATGAAACTTGGTGCACTGATGTACCATGATGAGTATTCATCAAAACAGAAAATGCAAGTTTGTAAACAACAACAAACAGCCTCAGGCAATAAATACTTGTAAACTATGTTTGTGCATATAACTTGCTTATTGTGGGTCCTCTAACAATGAAATTTCTTCTTCGAAAAAAGTGTGGAATACTCGTGTAAATTTTACTCCACACAAGCCCTATATTGTCGCCACTTTTACTCATGACATGAATTTTGAATAATGTAGTGTGAAGACTGGCAAACGAATTCTGTAGAGAAAGCAGCATTGTAAAACTGGTTAGTGAGCGAACATTGATGTAAATACAGTCACGATTCAAAACTGAGGACCTGCCAGAGAGGGCATTTGCTACCAGTCTTATGTGCATAGGAAACGAGTCATAGCGACCATGTGATGCCAAGAGAAAACGAGTCATCATACGGTACAGATCACTCGTGCTTTGCGACAATATAGGGCTTGTGTGGAGTAAAATTTACACGAGTAAGCGATGTCAGTTTGAAGATGTACCCATCATCCCATTGTACTAATGCATCACATGCACTTGTCTTGTCTCCTTGCTTTTTATGGCATCCCTATATTCCACACTTTTTGAATTGTTTATTTACTTTTAACTGTTGAAGTTAGGGCAGGACACATAATTCTTTGAGGTATCAGGGGGGTGGAGTAGCTAATGTGAGGGTGAGTCATTGTTCTCTGGGTGTGTCCGCCAGCCTATAGTACTGGAGAGAATGTGGACCAGTATAGCAGTTTCACTCACTTTTGTTTGTGTCATATCAATATTCCAGTAATCTGCTCCATCCGTTTTGCATCATAGATGTTTTAACAATGTGAAGGAGACAGGGCAAAGGCAGTGCTGATATACAGAGTATATAATGCAGCTGTACTGCCAGTTACAATTTTGATGTCTCTCTGCAAATTTTGCTCTAAGCTCATCCAGTACTTTCATGCTGCATATTAACACCACTTGCATGCACACAGTGGTGTAGATAAGAAAAAGAACAGTGAAAGCAGCGGAGAAGCTTAAGGTCATAGATGTTCTTTTGGTTTTTGGTCTGGGAGTTGTAGCTCAGTGCACAGGTTACTGGTCGCTAGGCCTGGGTTCCACTCATGACAAAAGTGTTTCTCTTCTAGGGATTGTGATGGTGGCTACAAAAACGTATTGATGACTAACTCATATATTATAAACATGCTAGTGCACAATAATAATTATTCAGCCTGGGCCAGTTATGGAGGGGGTAACTATACATGTGTGCTCTGCTGATGAGGGCCAACAAGCCCGAAACAGCTGTCCAGAGCTCCCCATCTTTTTCTCTTGGCATCACATGGTCTACCTTCATGTGGTGGTTATTTCTCTATCTATCTACCTATGGCTGGTATGCTATGAACTATAATTTCATGAGTGCAGTAGTATGGACCAGCTAACTCTTGCATCAGGACCAGGTCTGTACCACCATTGAGGGAGCCTCTTCATCAGACTCCTTGTTTGTGGTATTTGATTAACTACTTGCTGTTGGTCTTCCCCGCGTAGCTAATTCCCTTCTGCCATCTCCATGCACGATACGATCCCTACCAGCTTCTTCATTATGGAATGGGTCCATTCGGACTTCTGAATTATTGACCCGGAGCAGGAAGAATAGTGGTCCTCCAGAATTATGCATTCTCCCCAACAGATGCATTGCCAAATGCCAAGGTCGTTGCACTTCCCATAAATTATGTATCGTATTATACACTGCGCACTCGCACACCCGATAAGGGGGGCGGGGCAGCCTGACTTTTGTTTCGTGGGCCAGTAGCATAGAACATCATGAAAAAGGCAGGTCCTCCTAGGCAGGGCGGACGTGGGGGGAAAAAGACAACTACTGCAACTGCAGCTAAAAAGGGAGCAGGATCTCATACGCAGAAAGGTCTGTTATGCAGTCAGCTGGCCTTTTAGCCGCAGAAATAGCTAAATTTTATGCTACAGTCCAGAAAACATTTCCTGCACCTCCCCTGAGACATATCATACTTACAATACAGGGCCCAAATTTATTGCTGCACTGTTAAAGACAAAAATGCAGTATACAGGAAATTGCGCCCTGTAGCGGAGTTTCACCACAAGACTGTAATTTTATCATATCTAACTCTGTGACTTGCAGGCAAGGTGCTTCCAGCTGTGGTGAAAAAAAGAAGTTCAGAAACTACCAGTCTGGACAAAGAAAGATGAAATGGCGCGGAAAATCCAAACATACTTTAGAGGCTACCGGTGAGCGCACAGAACCAGCCTTAGCCAGCTGGACTGTAATGAAGCAACTTACTAGCCTTATTGGTATGTACCTTTTATTCAGCTGCCGACAACTATTACGTAGCATGCAGCAAAAGAAAGCTGACTATGATGCAGTGATGGACAAACTGCAGAGAGAAGTATGTATTATCCACACTACCTCAAAACAATTGCTATACCTACATCTTTGTTGTATTTTTAAAGGCCTATGTACAAATGGTTCGGATGGAACAGCAGCGTGCCGAAGCTGAGAGAAAACGTGAAGAGGAGGAGAGAAAAAAGCAGAAAGAACAAGCCAGGAGAAGGGCGCGCATTTTGGAAGCTGCTTTTGATGGCAATATGGTGGAAATACACGCTATATTAGAAGAGGTGTCACATCTAGTTTAGCTCATGTGTAGGTAGGTAACAATTTCTATCTCAGTACAGCAACTGTGCAAAGATCAAGGTGAGGATGTGGCTGTAAGAAACAAGCACATGCTCGTGGAGTGCAGTGATGCCAATGGCAACACCCCACTGTCTGAGGCTGCGGCTGGAGGGGACCCTGACACCATCAAGTGAGACTACTAGCAGGAGTCCTAACACCCCATACCAATATTATTGCAACGTGCGCATATACTCTGTGCTGTATTCTTTCAGTTTCCTTCTCTCGCTGGAGGCAAACCCAAACAAGAAAGGACAGTATGGTCGCACACCGCTTTATCGAGCTGCTTTTGCCGGCCATGCTGAAGCAGTAAAGGTGTGTTTAACAATTTGTGTATCTTACTCATTTTCTATGCTGAAAACCTTGCCGCTTTTGTTTATCACTTCACTGTACTTAGATTCTTCTCAAGAGTGGAGCAGACCCAAGAATCACAGCTGATGACGGGGAGAGACCTGATCAGGTTCTCCAGAATTTCCATAGTTTACCATGATCACCAGACAGAGAGTGGCAAATTATGAAAAAAAGTAGATGGTTACCGTTTCTTATTATAGGTGTCTTCTAATCCTGAAGTTGAGGATATATTTAAAGAATGGAAACCAGAAGACACTGATCATTTGCTGAAGAGGTTGGATGGTGCTGATAAGAAGAGAAAGGAGGCACAGAACAAGCTGTTTGAAACGATTGAAAGCAAGTACTGTGATCTTTAGACCTCTACGAGTCTGGTCTAATTGCCATTCTATTATAGGCTAAGGAAGCTGGCTGATGATGCTGAAAAGGAATATTCTGCCAAACAAAGAGAGGTACTGGTCACCAAATTGCTAAATAATGGGGGCCAAATGCTGCACCAACAGTTGTGGACTAGTGCTTCTATATAACTCAATACAGTTACGCAAGGCCCACGAAGAGTTAAACAAGAGGATCTTTGAACATGACAGAAATATGGCAGCTGAAGCTGTCAAGACAGACATCACACTGGCTGTAAGTATGTTCATGGCACCTTGTTGAGGCTCGAAAGTTCCATCTTATCAACACCATTCTTGGCTTCTGGAGATAGTATGACCATGCATTTATGTCCTATGTATGATCTGAACATGGTAGTCTGACTAACGTTCCAAAACATGTTTAGTTTGTAATACAGACCAAGCAGTGTTAAATTGTATTTGCTGTGTCAGATTGTACATGATGCTGAAGAACTATTGGAGTCTGCAAGAATAGCTGCAGAGCAAGCTAGAAAAAGGCTCAATGATGCAAGACTCCAGTTAAGGTTGAAGAGAAAGGAATTTAAGAATGGTATGGTGTTAGTTTGTCAACCCTCTACCATTTGACATTCACTTTCTAATTACTGTATATTATAAAACTATGCAGATGGTGAAAATTATGAGGAAAGCAACGATGACTTTTCTGATGTCAGCATTAACATCCGAGAACTTGATGATGTACTAATGAAAGATGTTGGCAACAAAATAGCAGGGAGTGGCAAGTATGTATGCTGTTGGAAAGCACTAAAGTGCAAACCCCCTTGGTACAAAAGCTATAAGTGTGAATACTTACCTGCAAGAATCGAACTTGCAGCATGGGAATTTTGCTTGGTTTAATTAACAAGGACGGCTTAGACTTCTGACTGATAGGTGGAACGCAATATTGCGATCATCTGTGTATATAAGCTCATGCAAAGTATCTCAGCTATATAACCATGTCTGTCAGTAATGGAAACAAAATGGTGGACATGGCAACAGTAAACAAAACACACTCTTCGATCAGGTATGCAATTTTAGAAAAAACAACTTTTTGATACTTAATAAAGCTAGTAGCGTGTTTTATAGCGCAAGGTGCAAGCAGAGTAGAAAGAGAGACAGACAGACATATAAACCAAGTACGGTGGTAGCATTAGTGCAAAGTAGAAAGAGAGACAGACAGACATACAAACCAAGACGGTGGTAGCATTAGTGCAAAGGGTTAATAACACAGACACTGATTTCAGTGTGTGGTGTATGAATACCTGCAGGTGGCCACTGCTCATTGATGCTGGAAAACAGGCTGCAACCTTCTTACGTTATCGAGACACAAACTATATTAACTGCTGCAATCCTCGGCAGATGGAGCCAGAAGCCATCCGACTGTCTTTGCTCGGTGCCATCAAGTAAGCTACTGCTGATAGAGCTCTGTTAAGATACAGCAGATCCAGGATGTTAGGAAAACTGCAATATTCAAGCCTAAATTTGGCTTTACCATGGACGATTCCTAGTCTTACTAATCAGCTGACAGTTAAAAAACCTTTAACAACAGCACCCAATACTGTAAGTATTAGGATTTACTGATACTTTACATCTGTAACAGGTATGGGAAGTTTCTGGTCCTGGACGTTATGGATGTTGAAGGGTTATGGGAGGGGGTAGAGCAGAGAATGAACCTAGTGCAGAAAGATCTTCTACAGAATCTCATGAACATGTCCCTTATTAAAGAGAACAAGTGAGTCATCTCCAACTCTGTGTCAACCTGTTGGTCACCCCAGTTCCATCGTGTAGATTTCAGGGTCTCTGCAAAGACTCAGATGGAGATGAATACTCACCCAAAGCTTTACTGAGTGCTAGAGTGCATGAATTCAAGCTTGTAGTTCTGACTCAGCTGGATTTCCTTCCGAAGGATTTTACTGAGCAATTCTATGTCATCAAGGTTCACGCTTCTCAGCCTGTGTAACACATCATGCACTCCTATTTAACTTCTTGTTGTCTCATATTATTTTGTTACAGCAAAACTACTGGAAGAAATGAAAAGCACTAAAGTGCAAAACCCTCGGCGGCGTGGAACCACGTATGTGGTTTGGGTTATGTGTCACATGCATGGTTCCACGCCGCCGAGTACTGTTGTGTCACACTGCGGACATCTTCAGGCGTCTATCGCGCTCTTCATCGGTCAGCCCCCTCTGCCTACAACGCTCGGAATGTAGACGAGTGCTGATTGCCAGCTCAAATAAGTATTTGCACCAGAAACGGCAAGAACTATCCTCGAGCGCTGCCCTCAAACCATGGCCGCTAAACAGTGCCATTTACGGCGTGATCAATGTGCGCAACCCGCCAGTGTAACACACGCATGCGTTTATTTCTCGCTTCCAAGTAAGCGAATACTAATTAGCACATTGGCTTGTTAACTTGCTTTTCACGCCATAAATTTTGAATGCCGTAGTTATACGAAAATCGTCTTTTTTAAAATGAACCCAGTGTAGCGATGAACCTGTTGGTATCGCTCTTTCGTTGTCTCGTTGCGCGTGGTTGCAGAAAACGTGGTAACAGACAGACAGACAAACTTACCGACCAAGTACAGTAACCCTCGCAGCGCATGTGCGCCGAGGGTTAATAAATTGCAAACCCTTGGTGCAGAACCATTGCTATCACAGAAGTGATAAAATTTAGCATGTTGCATTTTAGCAAATCGATATAATAATAGTTCTTCCCAGGCATGGACAATTATAATGACTAACTAACTCTAAGTTACCTGCAAGATCTGAACTCGCAGCAGCACTTGATTTATCGAGGACAGCCTAAGCCGACTAGGCAGAATGCACAACATCTCTACTAATGCTTGGCGCGTGTTGTGCAAGCTCATGCGTGAAGTATCAGCTGTGGCAAAAACACGTGCATGTTAGTCCTAGGTGTAGTTGATTTGTTTGTTGTGCCTTTGCCTTTCTACCTCATAGTTTTCACATGAAAAATGGCAACCCCGGCCGCAGTAAATAAAAAGCGTGAAGTCAGGGAAGATGGCAGTGGTAGGAGAAAGCAAGCATAGGGACACAAGCAAATCACTTATGCACACACAAGATAATGTAGATCACACGTACAAGGCAAGCTATAAAATAGAAGAGGTGGAAGAAGGCAGCATAGGGACTCTAACAGAGTATCAATGCGGACTAGTACTTGTGCAAATAACTTTGAGTTAGCAAACTATCTACTTAAATCCTACCCCGCACTTTTTCGTACTAGTTCAAGAACCACTGCGAGTATTGGGCAATGAATTAGTGGTACAAGTGTTCTACAAACAAGCCTCTATTATTCCTGACACTCTAATTTGCATGAATTAGAGCTTGAACTAATTGACACCCATTGGATCAATAATGTAGTTGTGAGAAGCTAATAATCATGAGGAGTAGCAGACTGCATTAACAGGCTTTGAGACAGCATCCCCGTTTCCAAATTTCCCGTAGTATACGATGTTTTTATTTTATTTTATAGATGCAATTCATAGCTATCGACTGCTGCTGACGGCACATAAACAAGTGTATATGGAGGACTAACCACAGAGACCATTCTGTAGCTTTAATCGTAAGTGTGCAGTCATTAAAGAAAAACCTCGCTTTTCTATGTCTTTTTGTAAGTAGTGAAGATGTTAGTCGAGTTAGAGAGGGAGTTAGTCTAGTGTGTATAGGTTAACTCCTGCTACTTTCGAAGTGCTTACCTCATAGTTCTTGTATGAACAGTCCATTTTCAAACTGCAGCATTGTCGTTCGCATTACGGAATACATAGCACGGGTGACACCCTTTAATACGTACACCAATCGTACTACAATGCATCATTAAGAATCAGATAATGGTACAGAACAACTCTGCTAGTGAGTTCTGAAAGTAACGACATACTCCGGGTATGCTTGAGAGTCTGACATGACAACATAGATCGTAGGATTGGTCACATTATCCACTAGCGTGTCATAGAGCATATGTTTATTCCTACTTGGATCCAGTGGTGGAGCAACCTTCATAGTTTTTTCACCTTTCGTGTATTTTCCCACAACAACACGACAAATAAACATGTTCTGGTTGCCATGTTCGTCGGGTACTGAGTATTTCTCCTGTGCCGAGTAATTTGCACGACCTGCAAAGTAAACTCCCTTTCCAAACACAGCAGCTACAAAGACACAAGAAAGAGAAATACAGTGAGTTTTAGGCAATTAACAGTTAAAAACAGATAGGCTTGGACAAAAGAGAGGTGGTGGGGAAAAGGTTATGTTGAGGTGTCTATATACTTCCCTTACCTCATGAAGATTTACTGTTCGCTTCACCCAGTGCTCTGGGTATTGCTACAATAATTGGTCTGGAGCTGAAGCTGCTGTTCGAGTTTATTAACAAACTATGGCCAAATTACAACCTTCTCACCACCAGAACCACAGCACCTTGTTGTAGTGTTCACGGGAACGATCCAATGAGTACTACTACTGCATCTTATATAAGCTACCTTGTAAACATGCTAGAAATTTCTTCTCAATACAGTGTTTCTTTGATATGCAGAAGCAGTTCTTTATATGTATGTAACAAGTTACCATTTGCATCTGCAGCAAATATTCTGTTGAAGCCCTGATGAGCAATAGCTTCAATAGATGCACTTGATGTTCCATGGAAGAGCCGCTTCAAAAGAACACCGCCACAATACTTTCTCTTCAAAACATCCAAAAAGGCACAGTGTTTTGAATACTCATTAAAATTCTGAATACGTTCTAATTTAACAATTATACATCTCTTTCCGTACATTGTTTCTCTGAATTCTTTAACAGCACATTCATACTCTTCGGTGCCACTGGGTACTGTAAACAAATGGCATGCCTTTTCTGCACCATTCTCGAATGGTAGAGGTTGCCAAAATTTTGGCAAAGCTGCAAAATGAAACAGGATTACTTTATAGTTATGTTTGCACAGTATCTAAAATGTGCTTGCTTGGCACAGGGCTGGAGGCAGCACGTGAATAACTATTACTGATTACTTTGTACTTTGCCAACAACAAAAAACCAGTGTTAGGATCACAAAACACAGCCTACACTGCAAACCAGTAGTAAACAGGGCTGGGTCACCAGCTGTTGTAAAATTGTTGATATCATACCACCAGCACCTTCATTCTTATCTGAGAGGCAGGAAGGCTAGTATTCTATAGAAGCTTCTATGATCCATGTACAGACACCAAACCGTGGACTAGCACAAACATGTGTGGCAGTTGGACTGCTCTTAATTGGCCTGCAACAAAATAGCTTCTGTAGCTATCTACACACGGCATTTCTGTGCCTGATCATAACATGTTGGCCAATCAAACACTACAACCAAAGGCAGCTATGAAAAGCTTGAACTGGGAAGCAGCCTGAGTTATTAATACTTTTTGCACTTTACTCGCAAGGTAAATCATAAGTTCTGTTGTGTCAGGGACACAGAAATGCACAGTTTTGCTTAGTCTGGCATGGAAATAACTTTGTGCGTGATCAGTGACCAGTGAGTGCGTGGACATAGTAGTTCACTATTCTGCACAAAATATGTAGGACTCTACCTCTCAACACAGAATTTGTAGAACTCTATACCTCCCAATAACAAACCACACAAGGCTAACGTGGATCATGTCGTAGTACATAATGAATGCTGATATTCCTGTCATGAACTTTTTTACGGCTAACCAATTTTAGGTTTGTCTATTCGACGAATTGAGCAGGTCTTTCCAGAACTGAGGTCTATCTCTAGCATGTTCTTAAAGTCGATCACACTGCTGTACACACCACAATTAACTTTCATCCACTGTATGTCCTATTAAAAGAATGCAATTAAGGTACTGACCATAAGTCTACGTGCATACACATAATATTCTGTGTGTGTACTTGAGTACGTCCATATTTATGACTCTTACCCAGGAAAATGTGCATTATAGAAAAATTGCCTAAGGGCCATTGAAGAAGAGATTTGATCTCTCCTTGCAATAAGCAGTTCACAAGGGAGACACAAATGGGGCTTTCAAAAAGGCTGACTGGCTATGAGAACATCCTATTATATTGGTGCATGTTGAGTGTAAACATTAATTAACTAGGAATGCGTACGCGCATATTTTGCCTCGCGCCTGCCAGCCAATGCGTAAACAGTCCGACTGAGGCCGCTCGTGCACGACGCGCTCGGCAACAAGGAGAAGGGGGAGAGAATTCTGTCAAGAATAATCAAGGTCTATGTTTCCTTAAGAGGCTCTGCACTTGCAACATCCTGCCTAGAAATTGACAAAAAAAAACTTTACAGAGGAAAAAAGCTATGCGAACTGTCGTCTACACATAGTGAACGTACATTAACAGATGGAGTGGTGAAGATCTTCAAACTGTCAGTTGCATACTGGTAGAATTTAGAGAGAAAATATATCCATTTATCATGATAATCGGACGATACACACATAGTGTGAAACCTGCTCTCTTTTGCCACTGTTGTTGCAGCAGTGACAAAGCATTGGTTTAGGCTGTTCACTACATCTTCAACAAATTTGCTGATGTTCTCTTTCTTCCTACACCACTCAAATAATCTCTCTGCAGCAAATAGCATGGCTCTTGCACCACTTCAGCCACTCTTGAACTTCATCTTGTAAAATGCCTTGAATTGCATGCAAAAAGATTTCAGTCGCAATATAAGAGTGGTGTTCAGTACTAGTGAATAGCTAGTTAGTTCTATCGATGCGTACCTCCAGTGTACACGTAGCCATCTCGATGCCGCACAAAATGGTTGCATTACCATGCTAATGTTATGGACGGTGTGAGGTCACCGCCGGCTGTGAGTACTCAATTCCAGCTACGAGGACCGTTACACGGAAATTACGCTGTTTCCGATCCCGGTTACGTAGTCTAATAACTCTATGTTTGAATCAACCACTCGAGATCAACCACCCGAAATTCCCCTCAATGTGGATGCATTACTTTGCTTATAATCTACTGCCACAGAAAAAAGTAAGCCAAGTCAAAATCCCCTAATGTGGA